ACTTCAGCCCGGAGTTTGATACTGATCCGAATCTCGACGCTGCTTACGCCGGGAAACTAAAGCAGGCCTGTCCGAGGAACTTTGATCCGAGAACTGTCGTGCCGCTGGATCCTGTCACCCCTTCCCAGTTTGACAATCGCTACTACTCCAACCTCGTCAACAACATGGGGCTCATGATCTCAGATCAGACGCTCCACAGCGACATGCTCACCCAGTTTTCTTCCGAGTCAAACGCCGAGGATGAAAACATGTGGCAGTTCAAGTTCGCAAACGCCATGGTCCGGATGGGTGCTATTAACGTCAAGGCTGAAGGCGAGATTCGCAAAAACTGCCGACTGAGGAACTAGAAACTTTGGTCGCATCCGACTCTCCTGTCAAAGCACAAGAAAAAATAAAACAGGAGTTTAGATCACTGCAAGGAAACCCAAAGTCCAACATCTATACCGATAGCTTTCAGCTCTGCTACTGGAGGTGCCTGTAAAAGCGCGAAAACATCAGGCAGATCAAAGATATATAGCCTTTCTAGTGACTGTTCGTAGAAGGAAAGTTTGTGTTCCGTTTCTCAATGATAAACCAAAAAATAAAAGAACTTCCAACCTCTTTGGCGAGAATCTCTCCCTCTCTCTTTCTCTCTTTCACCAGAAAATTACGTGACTCCACTCTTCAAGAAGGAATGCACGACGTGACCTGCTAGAGAGGACCACAAAAGAGAATTATCCACCATCATCTGTTGTGCTCGTGCACATAAAAGTGCCTGCAAACAAGCCAAGAAAATAAAAGAAAGAAGGAAAAGGAGAGAGAAAGAAAGAACAAGTAAGATGGAGAATTTTCTCAGCATACCTTGGAGCGATAAAACTGTGGGAGTGCTCATTCGCAGCACGGCGCCATTGCCATTCCTAGCTCTCCAAATCATGGAATCTAGCGAAGAAATCTGCCGCAATTTGGAGCCTTCGGCATTGGCGGCAGCGGCATTTGCCCGGAGAATCACGCAAGGCGATGATTTCGCAGCCAGATTTGACTTGGAGAGCGACGAGGAGGAACGCAGCGCCTGGGGAGGAGAGACAAGGCGGCGCGCGAGCGCCATGGATGCCGCATTCCCGGATATTGTAGCCATTCCCTCGCGCCTAAAACCCTAAAACATTATCCGCCCGCTTGGCAGACACGTCATCATATTTTAGGGCTGATTTGCCATGTCATTAGCTCACAAGGGTTTAGGGCTTGGGGCTTCTCATGGCGAGCAGGGGAATAGCGAGGCGCCTGATCGCGACAATGCGCGCGCCGCCGCGGCAATCGGCCTTCCAGCGGCCGCGATGCCTCAGGTATGATCTCCCGGCGCCGTTGCCTGCTCACGTACTTCGACACACATAGGATTCCTCGTGAAATCGCGGCGCTGGAGTCAATGCGGCCGTTTCACAGCACTCTGGCGTCATCGCGGCTGGTTTCCGGGCTCTCGAGCGGCGGATTTCTACGTTTCGAAGGTCAGGCTCTCTCCGCTCGTTCCGCCGCTTGAATGCTTGCCTGCCAGTCGGTTGTTTGAGAGCCGTTCTTACTCATTCCAGGTGCTCGGAGGTCCTGCTCCACCGAGTCTAGCTCTAGTGACAAGAATGAGAAGTCCTTCTTCGACGAGCGCGAGCAATTGTCCGATATGAGCGATGGAGAAGGGAGCTATAGTGAGAGTGAGTCGATGTGGAGCCACGACGAAGGAGAGGGTGGTGGTGGTGGCGACTCAGACCAGGGGTCGGAGTTTGAGGAGGGTGATACGTTTCTCAACGACAACGATCTCTGGGGCGAGAACGAGGGGATGGATGAAACACCTAGCAGTGAACTGAGCGAGAAGGATACGGAAGAAAGTAAAGAGGTGGAGCAGCCTTCGGTCTCGGATAGATTGATGGAAGAACTCGCGCGTGTTCTTCCCAATGTTCCGGAGGACGCAGTGAAGAAGGCCGAGGAGAAGTTTAGGCAGCAGCAGGGGGAAGCTGGGCGGGTTCGTAAGGAAGCCGGCGCTTATCTCAGAGCGATGAAGAAGGAGTACGACTCTAGATCGTTAGTCCAGGACGAGCACTGCAAGAAAGTTCATCAGAAGCTGTCCATGCTAGCACCGGATCCGGATGGGAGGTACCGGAGCTTGATGGAGGTGGTGTCGGACATAGACGTTCTACTGGAGGCGTACAGGAGAGTCAAGGCGGGTCCAGGTGGCGATCCATCGAAAGTTCCTCTGGACAACGTGAATATGGACTGGTTCCACAACACTCAAGCCAAGCTTAGAAACGGGACGTTCAAGCTGAGCCCGATCAAGGTGGTGGAAATTGAGAAGCGGGAGCTAAGCGGGATCGAGAGGAAACGGAAGCAGTATCATCGTTTCCACAGGAAGCACCGGCAGCCATACTGACGAGCGTAAGATCTGGTTTGGCTGGATTTCTGGGGCTAACTTGGAGGTGTAAACAAAAGCAGGACGCATTGTCAGCTATGTTAGCCCACCTTAAGTGTCGCTTCTTGCGTTCTTGACGAAGGCTTGTCAACCAGTAGACTGGTAGGTGTTGCTTGCTAGAAAAGAAAGAATTTTCCTGTTCGTGCCATCTGACCGGGTGAATCGTTCTCGTTTTTGACCAGATCGATTCGCGAACTATGTCAGCCCTCACTGAAGATGGAGCGTGGCCACACCAGCACGACACACATCCGCTGCGAGGTTTACTACATTGGCTCTTCCCCTCTCTCGCTCTTTCCTTTTTAATGGATTTCTCTACTTTTCAATCCGACTGCTACTGCTGAGTCTCCGCTCGCTCTCTCGCGATTCGAGCCACCCGGGTATTATTATATGATCTCTCCAGCGGCCAGCCGCGTGGTCCTGGTTTGATCCGGTGATCTCGACGGTTGAAGCGTTTGAAGCTGGTTCGTACGCGAAGGCTTTGTGTCGGTGTGTGTAAGCGCACTTACACAAGAATGTACTCCCCCAGGTAGCTAGCTATGCACACATTTCCAGTGATCATTTGGTTCTGGAGTTCCAGATATGTGGTTTTTGCAGGCTTTTTGACGCGATCAGTCCTCGTCCAAACTGGTACGTTGTTGCATTAATGCCATCGCCGAGCTCTGCTGTTGTCATGCTTTATGGTATTTCAGTGCTGCTCCTGCTGCTGCTGCTGCCCGAGATGGGATGATCCATCTGGTGGGATTTCGCTACTGCGGCTCTGTGCTCCCCCCGCTGCAACGCTCAGATATGGTGAAAGTGACCAAAAGTTTTATTGCGAGCTACACAGATGGAATGAATGTAACACTACGAAGCAGCATCTCTTCCCCCCCGCGGCTTGATATAACAAATTATATCGGAACGGAAAAGGCCTGCGCGAGAGGAAATGTTTAAGCCTCTTGGATCGTCGAGCAAAAAAAAAATGGTGCCTTGTGACAAGAGCTCCATCTGAAGGTGTTAGTAGCGGCCCAGAACCAGGTACCTTGTCTCAAAATGCGCTGGGCCGTGGAAGTTATTTGCTAATTCATGTGTACGTTTCTTTTTCTCCTTTCGGTGCTGCAGTAGAACGCGCAAAACTGGACCTTTCTTCGCTTGGCCAGACTTAAACACCGACCTCCTGGCTGCTTCGAGATGGTCCTGCTATCGAGGTAAGTTTCCAATTTTCATTTCCGCATACCAGGAGGAACCATATCTTCTAGCAGGCCTTCGTCCGTGAAAGTCTGGCTTTGGCCTACTTGCCGGCTTTGCTGTTGGTGCTGCTGTAGAAACTGTTGCTGATCCTGCTGGCTTCGCTGGTGCTGCCGCTGCTGCTGGAGAAGCTGGCTTTGCTGCTGGAGGAATTGCTGCTGCTGCTGCTGCTGCTGCTGGCTTTGCGCTCGAGCCGATGGAAAATTGAAGCTGGCACCTCTAGCTCCGAGGCCAGAGAGAAGCGATTGCTGCTGCTGCTGCTGCTGCTGCATTTGCAAGTGAGGCATAGTCTGGTACAGCGCCTGCGTGAACGATCCGGGGCGCTGGCTGCCGAAAGGATTCACAGCTCCAGCACCTCCTCCGCCTCCGCCGCCTCCAACTTCCGTCAAACTCCTCAGCGTCGCCGGACTGTGGTGAGTGTGAGTACCTTCGTAAGTGGTGATAACAATTCCGGGGTCCTCGCAGGAACGCTCCACTCGCTTCTTCACTGGACACTTGCTGTTGGTGCAGCGGTAGTAGCTCCTGCGAGAGAAGAAAGAAAACTTGGTGATCGATCGGAAGAAAAATCCAGTTTTTTGCTCACGTACCTTGGATGGGGGCTGTTCTTGACGGCCTTTTGCCCGTATTTTCGCCACCGAAATCCATCGTCCATGATATCCACGTCGCTGCGCGTCTGGAGAGCGTAGCGAGGCTCGCGGTTTCGCTTGGGACCTTTCTTTGGAGGCTTGGCTCTGGAAGCAAACGATTGACAGGAAAATTTGGTGAGAGATCTGTGAGATGAGAGTTCCAGTCAGGGATGAAATCCAAATGCACAAATGCCCAGGACAAAAACAACTCCATGTTTTCATCATTGCCTTTGGAAGCACGAAAATCTTCCCTGAAAAATGCCAGTGTAGACTCACGTATGCCCGAGGCGGGCATACGTAAGAGATGGATGGCTATGGCGTCCGCCAACACTGAAATTCATGGCAGCCCAGTTACAACGATGCAAATCCTCGCAAGCCCAAGAAGCATGAAAGCACGAAAGCACGGAAGAAATCAACGAAACCGCAAGAACAAACCAAAAGCCCAGTGGAAGAGAAGAAATGGTGAAAAGTTTGCCGAGAGTTCTTACGGTTTCTTTCCTTCCTGTTGTTGCGGCTGCGGCTCCAGCGACGACGATTTCTCCGCGTCCTCGGAAGACCCGGCCTTGCGCTTGAGCGATCCTCCGGACGATGCCACATTTCCCTTGTGCTCCTCGTCGCCATCGCTGGCTCCCGACGAGGACGTGAAGGACGTGGGAGTTCCAATCGCCTGATCTCCTCCTCCTGACCCTCCAGACGCTATCGATCCACTAGCAGCAGCAGCAGCAACACCAGCGCTAGCAGCAGCAGCAGCATGACCAGCGCTCGCCAGATCCAGCTGCTGTTGATTCGACGGCGCCGCTACTTGATCGTCATCTGGGTCGTCCAAGAAAAATCCCGCGGGATTGTAGCTTTGTTCCAAGTGTTCTTGGTGGCGATGGTGGTGGTGCTGCTGTTGTTGCTGCTGCTGCTGCTGCGAGAGGAAAGTTTGCTGCCACCACGACGCTTCCACTCCGGATCGAGGAGCAGCAGCAGTAGCAGCGTTGTCAAAGTCGGCCAAATTCCAGTCGGTGTAGAGCCTCCCAGCGGCAGCAGCGCCACTACTGCTACTGCCTGGAACAGTGGAGCTGCCGGCCATGATGCCCGAGATGCCGCCACTGTAGAGAAGCTGCGCCGAGTCCACCATGGCCGCCATCGCGGGATCCAAGTGGAAGCTCCAGGGAGCCGCTGCTGCAACCGTGGAGTCCATCAGCGCTGCTGACTGCGCGGCCGATGCAGCTATCCCGCTAGCGATCAAGGACGACGAAGAGCTGGGAGAACTGGAAGAACTGGAAGAACTGGAAGAGAAAGAAGAAGTTATCAGCGCTGTTGCTGTAGACCGCGATGGAGATGAAGAAGCTTCTGTAGCTCCGCCTAGGGTTTGGAGAATTCTCTCGAGCTCCTCTTGCTGCTGCTGCTCCTCCTCCTTGGCACTCTTGATCTACCTCGCCTCCATAAGACTTTTCTCTTGTCACTTGGAAGATGTTCCAGCTTGCTCCACATTTTC